AGAGAGAGAGAGAGAGAGTGAGAGTGAGATATACACGTACGACATCCATCCTCATGCAAGTGCCAAAATCTGCAAGTTTCAAATGACCATACTTGTCGAGCAACATGTTGTCTGGCTTTACATCTCTATGAACAAAACCCATGAGATGTATCGCGTCTAACGCGAGCACCACTTCTGCGCAATAAAACTTTGCCCATTTCTCTGGCACATCGTAGTTTGACATTAAATTCACTAAATCACCGCCAGGCATATAATCCATTACCATGTAAAGATACTTTTGATCTTGAAATGCAAAATGAAGCTGAACTATCCACTGAGAATTGGCATGTGCCATTATGTCACGTTCTTCCCAGAAGAAAGCCGAGTCTGATCGTTTGATCTGTAAAATTTGCAAAAATGAAAAACGTGCAATATCGATCGTACGTGTAAATTATCCATTATTCATTCGCCAGAGCATCTGTACGTTTGTTATTACCATTTCAAATTTACTGAGTAACTTCATAGCGTATACTTTTTGCGTAGACTTGTGTCTCACCAACTGTACCTCGCCGAACGATCCACGACCAATCACTTTTATCAGAGTAAAGTCATCCGTACGCATTCGCATTTTACAAATATCTTGAGCTACCGAGTCATCTAGAAATATAAATGAAAAATTGTCACAGACACGATAGTTTCGTAATATCGACAAGTATATATCATCGGTATATCATCGATAGACTGTTATTCAGTCCAGATCAATTCTACGTGAAATAACCTGAAATCACTGTTTTATATTGATTTGCTTTCTTTCCAACAAACTTTCCAAGTTTACCCTTGGGGTAAACGGGAACCTTACTGCTTCACGGTAAAATGATCAAGTACATGTTACATTTTTTGTTTGAGTTTGTTACATCGTTCAATACTTACATCTATTCATATACGCTTCTATATTTTTCATACGTTTTACGCTGGGATGATCACAATCTGCCACCAGGGCTTGAACCGTATCCAACAAGCAGTCGATATTTGTGATGCTCCTTGGGTCTTTTATACGTTCCTCCAGCACCCTCAGGCGCCTGCGCCTGTCTTCGTCTCTTATTACATCCATTTCTCTCCTGTTAGAAGCTAGGAATAATTCCCTTGTGAAAATGTAATATACATATACCTTTTATGCATCAAAAGCAATGCAACCGACGCAAGAGGCTATATATCATATAAGCACGATTTATCCACTGTTCCAATACTGAATGGGCAGTCCATGTTTCCTGAAACAACAATGAGATGAGAGGAGACAGTGCTGAGATAGATATTTCTAATGAAAATACTCGATTACACAAACATAATTATTCCCGTCGTAAAGATGATTTGACATGTATAATGCAAGTGACGCTTTTTGATCTGTAATAAGATAAAATTAACATACTTTTAGACAACAACACGTAAAGATATTACGATATTGCGAGTAGTCGAATCAAAGTTGTGAAATCAAATCAAAAATAATATAAAAGATCAACAAAATCGTCGCTTTCCATGTTGAAAAGCAAGTTAAGATTAAATGAGATACAAAGATACAAAATGCAACAGAATACACACAGTGCACACTGATGACTCAACGCGATTTACATGCCGAGATAATCAATCGAGAAACCACTGGTCAACGACGAATATTCAATTATTTGGAAAGAAACGGGTTCCCCTAGGCTAGACAATTCGTCCAAGTGTATCGCGTTTGAATTTATCACCAACAGAATTTTACCGATTTTCCCTCCTCGTCGCTATCGCGTCAGGAAACGTTTGCACGGTAAAAACGTTTGCAGATGATGGACATTGCCGAGCAAACGTAAACGTCGGTGAAGAATTTGCATTTTGGTGAAGAAGAAAAGAAGAAGTGAAAAACGAAAAATTGGCAAACAGTCGATGATATGAAAAGTCTGTCGAGGAAACTCGCGGGATGCCAAGGTGGATCCCGTGCAGGTAGGTTTACGTTTTGCACTTTCGAGTCCGTCACAAAGGATTTCCCAGGTATATACCCGTTAGTTCCCGCGGCCGATCGATTAAAATCAGAGGAAAATTCGTTCCAACGTACCTAATGTCGCGAATACCTTCGTCCAGCGTTCCGTCTAATTGAATAAAAATACTACAAAATGCATTATCTGTCTGCATGAATTGGTCGCGACTGCACACAGCTGAGCCGTGCATGCGCCATTGAGAAAATTCACAACGGTCGTCAAAGCCTCGAACGAAAACTTGCAGATCCAGTTTTTTTCCCCAGACTCGGCGCGCAACGAGCGGTAAGCAGGAATCGTCGAATTTTACTCGTGGAAAACCGGTGCCTACTCTCGACCCGAGACTCCTGCCTGATCCGATTTGAAAGTATACAGCAGCATTATCGACATGATTTTTTGGTTATTCGCCACTGTGCCCGACCCCACCGTGCTCGCGAACGTGTACGTTGTCCACCGAAAATTGACAACGTAAAGATCAGCCGCTCTCTCTGTGCGTATAAATGTACATGTGTATTTATTTGAACGAAATGGAACTCGAGAGGTGCCGCGGATAAAAAATTACGTCGCAAGTCGCCGAGACGGAACGTCAACGACTTCGGAAAAACGATTGTAATGGATTGTTACGGGCATAACCAAGATGGCGTAGTGTTCGACGCATCAAGTGAGATACAAGTTTTTGCGCTTGCACTGTCCGCTTGTAATTTTAAGATTTCTTTGATTAATCTGAGAACCATTTTCAAGGTTGTGGCTCCAAGCGAATCACGCGATCGAAATCCGTACGATGGACCGTGTGTTTCTGTAACGTGGAAAAATCCTTGGTTTTCCCGCGCGTATTTTGATGCTCGTTGAACATTTCTACGGAACGTCTTTTTTTTAGCATTATTTCTATCATATTTTCTACTTGTAGCAACGACACATATCGCAAATAGACACGTAGGTACGTATATTCGTCAAACTTGTCTGTTAAAATGTTGTCTTTCCCTTTCTCGCAGTATATTTAATTATTCTTTCCCTAGCGATTTGACTCTCTTTCTCGTTGTCGTTTCTCTATTCTCGCCTTTATTGTTGCAGCTTATTCGCGATCCATCTATTGTAATTATACGTGAGAAAAGTAATTTACTCTCGTATTCTGAATTCTGCAGAAAAATGGATCTGCCCTGCGATTGGCAGATCAACAAAGAGAATCTTTTGGAACGCAGTCAACATTTATTGGAGACGGGACAATGGTCCGACTGCAGATTTGTTGTTGGACAGGAACCCCATCAGCAAACATTGAAAGGACATAAATTATTTTTAGCAATGTCCAGTCCTGTCTTCGAAGCTATGTTCTACGGGGGTATGGCGGAGAAAAATGACCTGATACCGATTCAAGACGTTCAGCCGGAAGCTTTCAAAGCTCTCTTGGAATACGTATACACAGATCGGATTCATCTGAGTTCTTTCGAACTAGCCTGTGAATTATGTTATTGTGCCAAAAAATATATGCTTCCTTCTCTGGTAAAAGAATGTACAAAGTACCTATGTTCTGACGTGTCTCCAAGAACAGTTTGCAGAGCGTACGAGTTTGCTAGATTGTTCGACGAGCGTTTATTGATAGAAAAGTGTCTTCAAATAATTTGTACAAATACAAACGAGGTTTTGAGACAACCCAATTGGGAGGAAGTTGAATTGGGAACGATATTGACAGTGTTGGAGCAAGAAGAATTGCGAATAAGCTCCGAAGTGGAGTTGTTCAGTGCGGTGGAGCGTTGGGCAAAAGCTGAATGCACAAGAAAATCTCTCGATCCTAATGACGGAAAGTCTTTAAAGTCAGTAATTGGTAACGCACTATCAAAAATTAGATTTTTAAGTTTAAGCGCTCAGGAATTTGCAGAAGGGCCGGGAATGTCACCGTTGCTTACTCAAGATGAAATTTTTGCAATACTCATGAATACACTGTGTACAGGAAATAAGGCACCTATGCCCGAAGGATTTTCGACTAATTCGCACAGTAGAGCGTATAAACCAATTACGCGTTTATGCGCACTTGTAAGTTGGATAGATGTCGCATGATAGCTCTCCGACTTTCGTTATCCTTCATGAGATTTTATTTTGCAGAGGTACAAGCCGTCACGTTACAGTTCGTACATGACACATTGTTGGCCAACTGAATATTGCGAATCTGATTTTGTCAACAATGCTGAATCCAGTGGTACATTGCGAGATGTACCGCCAACAGTGATTGAGAGTGCAGTGAGAAGGGAGGCTGAAAATTTAGCTGCTGCATCCGCTGTGGTAATCGAAGGTGGCGTACGAGAGGGATCAAAATATTATTGTCTAAGATCTGTTCTTCGTCCAACGGAATGTCTCAATGCAAATGTGTTAGATTGTTCTGTGACGTTTAGCGTAGATAAAAATATTTATGTATTGGGCGTACAAGTACCTACGCAAATGACTGAACTAGTAAGTTAAATAATGAAATAATGTTGAAGACAAAGTGCAACATTCAGACTATATTAATTGCCGCATACCATTTTTTTATTGCAGACTAACGACTTGAATCATCCTTTTAGTAGTACTTCATACACTGAAATTTTGTATGCTCATCTCCTCGATTCTGATAATACACGATTAACTTACACGCACTTTTCAACAAAAGTAAAGATTAATACTCTTGTGGAAATTACGTTTAATCGGCCTGTTTATATTCAAAAGAATAAGGTACATATATATATGTATATATATATTCAAATTATTTTAAGCATCGTAGCATGGAAATGTCTTTAAGTACTTTTCAAAATTTTTGTTTTTTTCAACTATAGATTTATCGAGTTGGTGTAGTTTTTAACTCGCTTGGGTGGTATCCGATGGGAGTTTGCACCCAATATATGACCTGTGATACCGTATTCTTCACATTCGGTGTCGGTAACAGTGCAGATAACGTACGAGATGGTCTCATTCGATCTATAGTTTTTACATACGACAACGTGTAATACCAGTAACAAAATTGGCTTACGTAAAAATAAATTTAAATATGTATTTTAAATTTTAATAACAAAACAGTGTGCTTTGTTCCGTTCTACACTATCAATGTGTTGCTGCATCTTTTTACTAAATTCTGTCAACGCTGCTATTAAAAACTATATACATGGTTATATTCGTACGTATTGGTTCTAGTTATGACGAAAAGCAAATTTGTATAAAATTTACTTTTTTTAATTTGCATAAAAATGTTAATGTTTGTTGTATAAATAAATTCTGAATTTTATAATTCAAATTTTAAATCGATGAATTACGTACTAATACGTGATATATGCTTTTGTTTGTTATTCTAAAATTAATATTATTGTACTAACTAACTGTAATTTTTAAGAAATTGTTATTGTACAAAAGAATGTTATATAAAATAATTAATATTTGAATATAAAAACATAATTATACCAATAACATATAAAGCATCGTTTATTTGAGTTATTAAAAACTATCGATTATGGAAAATTATTAAATTATATTCCTTTTATACTTGACAGCAAAAAATTTTGCGCAAATATTTCTTTACTTTACTCGAAGTATTTAACTTTCTTTTCATATAT